CATGGTGAGCGCCGGAGTCTCCTCAGCTGCCGCTTCACAAAAGAGGTACCAGGTCCGCACCAAACGAGCACACAAGCAGCACCAGGAGCGGCAGAAGAAGGAGGCGGCAGCGGTGGAGGGAGAGGGCGCGCGCACGCTGTGCGCTCCCTCCCCCCACCCTGCGTGCGCGAGCACGAGCCGCCGGGGCTTCCCATTGGCTGTCGCCTCGCGGGAGCGCGCAACGCTTACATAACCACCCCGCCCCCCCGCCCCGCGCTGCCCCGGCCCGGGCCCGGCGCCTGCCAGGCCGGCGGGAAGAGGCGCGGACACGCGCACCCGGCCCGCCGCGGGGGCGCGCCTGCTCTGGGCGGGGCTGTATTGTCCTTCTGTGGTGGAGCTTAATCAAAATGGCTTCCAGCTGGTCCTCGTTGAGGACGAGGAGACCTGAGGCCTGGACGTGAGACACGCCGGGCAAGGCAGACTGACTGGACGAGGAAGGGGGAGCCTGAGTCGTAGCCCCAGCACGAGGTTCTAGGGGAAAACACACACCCTTGTTCACTGGCCCACATGCAGTTTTCCTCAGGGTCAGAGGAGCATCACACTTCCTCCCGGTCAGCCTCTCATCCTTTGGATTTTAAAGCTTCAGCCTCAACCCGCTTCCCACCAAGTCCCTGCCTGGCGCAGTGACTGCTCCCGCGCCGGTAACCCCGCACCTGGCCGGCTGAGGTGGGGAATGTTCATCCTACAAACTCCCTCCTCCGGGCCTGGCTCCCAACCTCCGAGAGGAGACAGAGTCCACCGGGGAGAACGGCCCACTATCAGGTTTCCAATCCGGCCCATCGTTTCCTCCTTCCGTCCGGTTAAAACATGGAAGCTGGTCCCTCCTGCTTTCAGAACAAATCCCAACATCTGTGCAGTGGGTCCCCCTCTCGCCCTCAGTAGGTTTTATTTTAGCCTTTATCCCTGTACTTCCTTCTGCTCCACAGAAAAAGACGCGGTTCTATTTCTGTCGTAAGCTGCCACCATCTCTCTCTCCGTTCTTGGCCAAACGTCTTGAAGACGGGGCCCTGCCAGCCGTCGGCACTCCCCCGCCTCCCACTCCCCTCGGCCGCTGCAATCTGCCGCCGTCCGGCCCCGCAGCCGCAGGGCCGCTGCTCTCCGCTGCTCTCCGCAAGGTCAGGCGCCCAGGCCGCGTCCAGCGAGCCTGCCCGTCCCTCCTCCTGGGCGCCCTCCCTGCGGCTTTGGGCTGCGTCCTTGATCCCTTCGCATTCCTCTTCCTCCTCAGTCCTGCCCTTAAAATGTTCCTTGGGCTGTGTTCTAGACTCTAGATTCTAGACCCTTTCTCCCACCTCCACTCCCATCTACTTGTTAATCATTCTCAACTCTCTATTTCTAGTCCGGATCTTTCTCTGAGCTTCCAACCTATAAATCCAACTGGCTTCTGGAACATCTCCACTCCGATGGCCCAGGGGCGCCTCAAACTCAGCAAATCTCAACGGAAATTCCTCGCTTTACCTCCTCCGACCTGCCCCTCTCCCTCCGTCCAGGTCGGCGAATGGCACTCCCATAGGACCTTGCTCCATGCCGGAGAGGGGGCATCCTAGACCCCGTCCTCTCTCTCACACACTCCCCGTACAGCCCACCTCCGAGGCGTGTGTATGCTGCCTTCTAACACCTACCACATATGTCTCCTTTAGGCAGCATTTGCTGGGCTTCCAGCTGGTCCTCCATGGGACAGAGGAGGCTTAAGGCCTTAACTGTAAGACAAGCCAAGGAAGGCCCAAGTTCAAGTCAGCTCTCCCAGGGCTACTGCACTAGCCTCCTAACTGGTCTTTTTGTTTTAAGGTAAGTCCCACTTGTACCTGAACATTTAAGTGAATCAGAATCAACTAGGGTGCTGATTTATTTATTTTTTTCAATATATCCTTATTGATTTCAGAGCGGAAGGGAGAGGGAGAGAGAGATAGAAACATCAATGATGAGAGAGAATCATTGATCATTGATCGGCTGCCTCCTACAAGTCCCCTACTGGGAATCATTGAGCCTGCAACCCCGGCATGCGCCCTTGACCGGAATCAAACCCGGGACCCTTCAGTCCACAGGCCAACGCTTTATCCACTGAGACAAACCAGCTAGGCAGGGCTAGGGTGCTGATTTAAATGAATGTTCTCAGGCGGTGTGGCTCTGGGGTTCCTCCTTTTTAACAAGCGTCCCTGGTGATCCCTAAGCACACTAAAATCTGAGAACCACAAGCCATTCTAAAATAAAAACAAAAAAAGTTTCTGCCACGTTTTGGTTCAGTGGCAATCCTCGACTCATAGGATAAAGTCCAAAAATTTGTATAAGACCCACAAAACCCTTTAGGAGCTAACCCAGCCCTGGCCAGGTAGATCAGTTGGTTAGAGCATCATCCTTGATACACCAAGGTTATGGGGTCAATCCCTGATCAGGGCAGGTACAGGAATCAACCAATGAATACATACATAAATGGAACAACAAACCTCTCTCTCTCTCTCTCTCTCTCTCTCTCTCTTTCTCTTTCTTTCTCTCTCTCTCTCAAACGAAAAACTAATCCAGATTAACCATTCTAGCTCTCTCTCATCATTTCTTCCTGGAAGCCTCCGCTTCTTTGGTCATAGTCAATTAGCTGGGTTCTTGAATGAACCTGCTCTCTCTCAACTCCAAGCTTTTGTCCACTGTAGGTGCTCAAAGATTCACTGAATGCATGAATAAATTGAAACTGTCACTAGGGGAAGTTCCTGTGCTAGGCAGTGGGCAGACAAAGTCCCTGACTCAAATAACGTAATTTGGCGGGGTGGGGGTGGGGTTAGGAACTACACAAGAAGTGAAAGGGGAAGAGAACCAACAGCCATGTGTCAGGCACTGTGTGGGGCTTTACTATTAGCTCATTTCCTGCTCGCACAAAGCCTTATAAGCGAGCATAGTATTTACTTGCTACTAAGGCTCCAAGGAATGAAGTAACTTACCGAGTAGCACACAGCTGGCAGGTAGTGTTGAGTGAGCTCTTCCTGTATGCCTGGGAATGAACATGCTGGGTGCTATAGAGAAGGAAAAAGAGACGCCATCTTTGCTGTGCTGGCCCTAGGTCTTCTGTGGCCATCACACACCTCCCCAGCCTTGTAGGACTGCAGAACCATCAAAGAGGAATATGTCCTGTTAAACTTACTCTCATTAATATGTGGGCACTTCCAGTAATCAAATGCTTGTTTAGTTCTTAGCTTCTGGGTGACAGGCGTGTCCTACAATATCCCCCCTCTCCAAAGTTATGCTAAATTACAGAATTACCTTCAGGCAATGGAGAAGTTCCTATAAAAAAATAGTGAAGCATATTCAAATGTGTGAGCAACACATATTCCAATGGCAAACTGGAATTCTGTGAGCTGAGTGTAGGGGATCTACTCAAGTCATATACTGGGAGTCTCTTTCCAATGTCTAGGTAAAATAAAACGATGAAAAGATAGAAATTTCCCAACATTGTTTCTCCCTCCATCATTTTTTAAAAAATTGATTTTAGAGAGAGGAAGGAAGAGAGAGAGGAACATCTATTGGTTGCCTTCTGTAAGTGCCCAGACTCCGACCGGGAATCAAACCTGAACCTGCAACCTAGGTAAATGCCCTGACTGGGAGTTGAACCCAAAACCTTTCGGTTATACTGGACTATGCTCCAACCAACTGAGCCACACCGGCCAGGGCTGTTGTTCTGCTCATTCATGCATTCACTATTTGCTTCCTGTATGTGCCCAAACAGGAGATCGAACCTACAACCATGACCTCCAGACAACACTCCAACCAACTGTGCTACCCAGCCAGGGCTCCCTCCTTCATTTTTAGAGGGGTGGGAGGGGATGGCTGTGCACTGGAAAAGAACGCTTTGGAAAAAGAAAGTTCGAGGAATACTATATACAGAAGAGTAGTGGCAGGTATTGAGTATTATGTAGAGATTCTGTGCCAAGCCCTTAATCCTCACAAAGCCTGTGTTGTTATTATCTCCATTTTTACAGATGAAGAAAGTGAGACATAGAAAAGTTGGACAACTTGCTCACCCAGCTTAAAGTGGCAGAGCCAGTATCAAACTGAACTCAAGATTTCTGACTCTGATTCCAGCGCTTAGTTACTGTAGCACTGCGTACAGCGCCCGCCCCCATCTCCCACCCCGTGGAAGGATGCAGAGAGGACATGCAGAAAAAACATCCCAGGCCCTGGACTGTGTGCTCAGTGGTTAGAGCACAGACCGAAGGGTCTCAGTTTGATCCCCATCCCTCCCCAGGCCCCGGTGGGGCTCGGGAGGCAACCAACCAATGTGTCTCTCACATCAATGTTTCTTTCTCTCTCTCTACCCCTCTCTCCCTCCCACTCTATCTAAAAATCAATAGAAAAAATATCCCTTGTGTGAGGATTAACAACAACAACAACAAAAATCCCAGATTGGGGCCAGGAACACCAATCAAGTTGTTTTAACTTAAATTTTTGTTTGTTTCTCTCTCTCAGCAGAACTGAAGTTCCAAAGAAAGCTGAGACCTGTCTGTCCTGTTTACAGTTTTATTCCCAGCACTTGGTATCAGTTCCTGGGTCCTAATGGGCCGGTACAGGAAAGAATGAGGAGGGACTTGTGCAGTGAGCAGTTTTCACCGTGAGGGTTTAAGAACTTGGCCAAGAAAGGCCCAATTTTTCTAGAACTCTAGTTACATATCAATAACTGATATTAGAAGTAGAAGAGGGTGAACCATCCAGAATGTACTCCTCAGGGTCAGATGCCAAATCAAAAAACACCATTCCTAGAAAGTGCAGGAAGACAAGAATCACAGAGTCTGTATAGAGCTTTAAATCCTTGCCAAAACCCTTGAGAAACACATAACTGAATTATAACACAGATGACTAAACTGGGTAATTTATGCCACCAAATTTCCTTCAGGGTCTGAGGTTACTTGAGTTCTTGAGCTCTCCGTGAATACTGCAAGAATACTGACCGTGGGGGGGGGGGGTGGGGGGGGGAGAATAAATACTAAGTCCCTGAACTTCAGGAAATCTGGAGGCAGAATGGTGATGTGAAAACCTTCCAGCTTCCTCTCCTTGGGTCATGGCAAAGGTGGGACCCAAGATTGTGCCAGTCGTAGTCAAGAACCTGGTATATGGCACTTTGTGTCAGCTATAGTGTAAAAGATAGAGAAGTGCTGTTCCATAATACTATACATTTACTGGATATTAACATACATGTTGTACAAACATACTTGGAAAATGGTTCTGTAAGCTTTTTGAGGACAGGTATTTTCGCTTTTCATCTTCATAGTCTCAGCAAATAACAAAGTCCTGAGAGTCAATGGTCAATAAGAGTTCATTGACTTACTGATGCAATACTAACATAGCACTTGTCATGAGAATCCCCAAAATGCCTAAATCAGGGCTCCTGAGCGTCTGTCATGAAGCTACTTTTGAATGACAATTTCCAGTTCTTCTAACCCCATTAATGCTCCAGTCCTACTCCTCTGTCCATTGCTGGGTTCAGGTATGGCCCAGTGACTAGAGGCTGTTTAGTTCATAAAACAAATGAAAACAAATTAAACCAAGTTTGTATTTTGCTGTTGTGCCTAATAAGATAACGTCCGTACTCTTCAAGCTCTTGTTTGTGATTGATTACTCTCATCCTGAGGTAGAGAAGATGGTTGGAAGGATAGCTCTTAAAGGATGGTCCCTGGGCAACAATATCACTTTCACTTGGAAATTTGTACTTCTAGTACAAATACCAAGGGCTCCATCCCAAACTATTGAATTAGAAGCTCTGGGGATAGAGCCTAGGAACCAGTGGTTTAACAAACCTTCTAAGATAATTCCGAAGTTCACTAAAGTTTGAGAACCACAGGGCTAGAGCAGTTTTTACCCTCCAATAAGAAATTTGTCACATTTATAATTGTATCTCTCAACTTGAAGTTTTATGTGGCTAGTTATACATTACTAGGACTATAAAGCAGGTTTTCACAAACATGTTCTTATTCATGTTCGTGTACATATGTATGTACCTACATATGTATTTAAAACATCAGTGAAACATTTTTTCCCTTTAGGTTATTTTGCTTTATTTTTAATTTTTAAAACAATTTTTATTCATTGATTTTAGAGAGGAAAGGAGAGAGAGAGGGAGGGAGAGAGAGAGAGAAAGAGAAAGGGAGAGAGAAACATCAAGTTATTGTTCCATCTATTTATGCATTCATTGGTTGATTCTTTTTTTTTTTTTAATATGTTTTATTGATTTTCTACAGAGAGGAAAGGAGAGGGATAGAAAGTTAGAAACATCGATGAGAGAGAAACACCGATCAGCTGCCTCCTGCACGCCCCCCACCGGGGATGCGCCCACAACCAAGGCACATGCCCTTGACCGGAATCGAACCCGGGACCCTTGAGTCCGAAGGCCGACGCTCTATCCACTGAGCCAACATTGGTTGATTCTTACATGTGCCCTGACCAGGGATTGAAACCTTGGTGTTTTGGGACGATGCTCTAACCAATTGAGTTATCTTGCTAGGGCCTATTTTTTCTTTTTGTTTTTTGAAATTAATTAATTCACTTATATTACCACAACATAACACTTATTTCTGAATTTTAATTTCTAATCTTTATCCACACATACATCTCTTTTTCTGTTACACACATATATTTCTTTACCTAATTGTAGAAATACATAATTTTTGGTTTACTCTTAAATTTTTTTTCAATTACAGTTTACATTCAATATTACTTTGTATTAGTTTCAGGTAGATAGCCGGTTTACCTTTAAATTGGAAAATTATGTGGTAACATACTAAAGGGTAACTTTCTGGCTGTCAGAATAACACTCCTCATTCCTGCCAGTCTTTTCTCTACACAAATATTGATACGTATTTTTTACAAAATTGATGCTTTTAAACAAAATTTTATCTTTATAAAATTTTGCTAGTTATCTTTTCTTTTTTTATATAGTTACCTTTTCACGACTACATAAGCCTCTCTAGCTGTAGGACATTTATTTCCTTTTTTGGGGTGATTATTCAGAATGTCCCTCGTGATTATTTTCTGGAAATACAATTATGGGTGCAAAAGGTGAACATTTTAAAACTTCTTGAAAAACTTTTCCATGTTCTTATGTCTTCATGGTTCTTCTAAATAGGTGAATAGTATCTTATTGATACTATATTTACAGTCAAACCTCATTTCTCGAATGTCTCCCATCTCAAACAATTTGGTTCACAACCAAATTGTTCACAGAAAAATGTCTCAGTTGTTGACCAAAACTTCAGTATTCGACCTGACAACCCTTTCAGGGATTCTCAGGCAATAAACAAAGGAGATAATGCTTTTGTTGCTGGCAGAAATCGAGGATTAGCACAATTTTAAAACATAAGGAGGCCATCACAATAGTGTTAATGATGCTAAGGTGTGAAAGTGCTCACAAAACAATAATCACAGGCAAATGAATAGGTAGAAAAACTGTTGTTGATTGGATAAACAAAAAGCAGTTAGCCTGTGATAGCATCTGGGAGGCTGTGATATATGAAAAACTCTTCTTTTAAGGCTAATAGGATGTGGTTTGATATGAGAAAGGTTAAAATAGAGACTCATTTGGGGGCCTGGAACAGATTAACTCAATTTACATTATTTCTAATGTGGAAAAATGGTTCGGTTTTCAAACAACTCACTTCTTGAATAGCCTTCTGGAATGAATGAAGTTCAAGAACCATGGTTCCACTGTACTACTCCATTCCTCTATTCCTCTGTGGTGGAACATCTATCTATGACAGTGGCTCTTAACAGAGGCGATTTTGCCCCCTAGGGGACATTGGGAGTATCTAGAGACATTTTTGGTTGTCACAATTGTTGAGAATTACTAGCATTTAGTGGACAGAGGCCAGGGATTCTGCTAAACATCCTGCAATGCATAGGATAGCTCTCACAACATAGAATTATCAGGCCCAAAATGCTAATAGTGTGGGGGTTGAGAAATTTTTGTTGTTGTTACATATGTATGTAATATGTATTTTTTGGTTATATATATATATTTGTAAGTGATATAAATCACTTACCAAAATTCACACATCTTTTGTGTTTTGAAATTCTTTAAAATAAACTTTCAAGAGGACTTACTGGGTCAAAGTACATAAATACTTCTATGGCTCTTGATAATCCATTTCTACCTTGTTTACCAAAATTATTATGTCTCTTGAAGTGATTATGTATTTATTTCTCTGGAGGCATTGGTTTTACTAGGATGCATTAAATGCATCCACTCAGCCCCTTACAGAAAATAAATCCTAGCATAGTTCCTCTAGCTTGATCAGAGAATGACTGATTGTACGTTTGACTTTGGAGTAACAAAGTAATTTCTGGTTTGGCGCATGCACAATTGGTATGTTTTGTTTTAGGTGATTTTTATTTGATTCCAGAAATATTTTACTCTTTTTGTCTTCCTGAGGTTCTGATATAACTCAAGTTGAAGTCTCTCCAGAATAGTTACAGTAATTCCAGAGTTAAATAACCAATGTAGGGAGAGGAGAGGAATGAGAGAGGGAGAGGAGGAGCTGGTGAAGAAGAGCTGAGAAAAAGATTTGTATGCTGATTATGCAATTTGTTTTTCCAAATTATTCCTTTAGGCTTATGTTAAAAAAGAGGGATGGATGCCTAACCGGTTTGGCTCAGTGGATAGAGCATCAGCTGCGGACTCAAGGGTCCCAGGTTCGATTCCGGTCAAGGGCATGTGCCTTGGTTGCAGGCGCATCCTCAGTGGGGAGTGTGCAGGAGGCAGCTGATCGATGTTTCTCTCTCATCGATGTTTCTGGCTCTCTATCTCTCTCCCTTCCTCTCTGTAGAAAATTAATGAAATATGTTGAAAAAGGGGAGAGAGAGAGAAAAAAAAAAAGAGGGGTGGAGGTGGAAGAGGGAATATGGGGTTGGGGGGGGCTACATGGTGATGGGGGAAAATAAAATATAGGGTGGGGAGAGGATACAAGCCCTGGCTGGGTGCTCACTTGATTAGAGCATCCTCCCAATAAGCCAAGATTGGGGGTTTGATCCTTGGTCAGGGCACATACAAGAATCAACCAATGAATGCATAAATAAGTGGAACAACAAATCAATATTCCTCTCCCTAAAAAATATCAATCAATAAATTTTTAAAAATTAAAAAGGAACATGAATGCATAATTTATTATACTTCATAGCCCCACCATTGGTGTCAGAAACACTCAGATCAGTAAACTATGAAACATTTAGAAAATGCAGCAAGACATAGATGGCAGAATTACATTAAATTTCATCCTAAGGATGGATGGCCGTCTTAAGAGATAGGGATTTGGATGAAATTGTGATAGCCACAGGATTTTCCTTCCTTTACGTAACAATTTGTATCTCAAAAGAACAAACTATTGGGGTGACGAGATTTTCCTGATCGCTCCAAGTCATCTTATTTCCACCAATTCAAGTAGGTCGTTCAGAGTAATCTCAGGGAAAGAACCGTTTGCCCAGCTAAAATACTGAAAATTTGTCGTTTTCAAGTCAAAATTTTCTTAAATAAAAGAAAGCTGCTACATTTTCAGGCACTGTTTCCTAAGGCTTACTTTAAAATTCCGAATTCCCTTCAGTTAGATAAAAAACTAGCTTATTTGGGAATTTAGAGCCGGTACTATTCCTTGTATGTATTTGTAAATATGGCATTTACACTATAAACTCCTTTAAGTTAATGGAGCACTTTTGAGTTTTCCATTAACAAGACCCAGTATTCCCTGATTGTTTTTTTTTTTTTTCTAACAAACCAGTATTTGTGCTTAATTTAAGCAAGCTCAGCTGCCTCGATTTCACAGTAGTTCCAACGGCACCAATTTCGTCTGCTTTGCTTCTTGAGCGTTTTGGGGTGGGAGCTGGCAGCGCTTGCCTTCCTTCAGGAGCCCGATGGGCTGACGGGTCCCCGGGAAGGGGCTCCCTTGCCCTGGACACCGCTCGGAGAAGCGGCCGCGACGACGCTAACCTGCAAACCATCGAGGGCCGAGAAAAGCCAGAAGGGTGAGAAGCGGTGAACTCGCTCGAGCGCGGGGCAGGCCCAGCTCCAGCCCCAGGTCGGCCAGCCCGCGCACGCGCTAAGGCACCGCCACCGCTCCCGCCTTCTCCGGGGGCCTTCTCCCGGACGGGCGCGGGGCTGTCCGCGGCGGCGCCTGACCAGGCGGGAGGGTTACTCCGAGGACAGACGGCCACCGGCGCTGTTTTCCCTGAATTGTTGTCGAGGCCAGAAAGGAAGGAATCGTGTAGCGTGCCACAGAGGGATGGTCGTGGCCGACGGGAGGGGCCCCTGCAGCGCTGGGGACTTGGACCTGCAGGCAGTGCGAGAGGCGCCTGAGCGGGGGTCCTCTGTCGCACCCGGCTCCGAGCGGGAGGCCCGAGCCGC